ACACTGCAAACGAGAATGCAAACAAGAACAACAATCAGAATTGATCGTATTGTGACGTAAGAAGATACGTGGTGATGGTGAAACAAAGAAATGGCAAAGAAGAACAAGAAACATAGTTTCAATATCCTTCAAAAACCTCTTTGGGAAGTGCATATCACGTCTCAAAAAATATCCTCTGAAAACCTCTAGGAATGCATAATCTTGTCTCGAAAAACATGGTGATGCCTAAGTTTTTAAAACATCTCAGGGATACCTCTTAGTGATTCACACGAGCCCAACGAGACGAGACTTCCATTAAGTCTCGTCTCGCCGATGAAATATGAAGTCTTGTCTCGAGTCTCGTCTCGCAGCCTTCAGTCTCGTCTTGTCTCGCGTCTCGTATGAAAGTCTCGCAAATGTATCGCAATATCGTCATGCATAATCTTGTTCCAGTCTAGTACGGGATATTTACCTTTACCTCCTTTCTAGGTATAATGTAGAAGAAGGAAGACCAAATTACAACAAAAAAAACATTATCTATTGAAAAGTAAGTACCTTATAGGTACATACTTACATCATACATCTAAACAAGAGAGCTGAAGTAGCCGGTATTCTTAAGAGATCTCGTGCCATCAAACTTAGAATGGGAAATTCAGAAGCATGAATTTTCCACCATTGCAATATATCTGTGTTTTTATTACACAGAGGCACATAATAATATTTTTGAAGCTCCTGCATCCATACTCCCGTCAAAACAAAGTTATTCTTTATCTTAGACTATTCAGCACAGAATGACTTATTTATAGATTTTCAGGTAGTCATTCAATTTGCGATCTGTCGTTATTGCAGAATTGCCTTCATTTTCCGCCGCCATAAGAGATCATGGATTGTGTTTTTTAAAGTATTTATGAATGAAATGTTTTGTCTATCTGTGCTGAATAGTCTGAAATCTTTTTAAATATCTTTTATTATGAATGAAATTCTCAAGTCTGCAGTCGGCACGCAGAAATATTCACCTGCGAGACTCTCGCACGAGACACGAGAAGTCTTGCACGAGACTCGAGACGAGACCAATAAAAGTCTCGTCTCGTCTTGTCCGAGTCTCGTCTCGAGTCTTGTCTCGAAAACGAGACGAGACCATGCGAGACTCTCGAAAACGAGACTCTCGCGTGCACCACTAATACCTCTCGATCAGTAGGCACACAAAGAAATGCCACAGAAGAAAAAAAACAAAACTTCAATATCCTTCAAAGTCCTCTTTGGAAAGTGCATATTACGTCACGAAAAAACATGTTCATGCCAACATTTTCAAAACATCCCAGGGATGTTTGTGCTCGCTGGGATGGATTCATTTTATTTCGAGGCGTCTTTCTTTTCGAGGCGTGATATTATAGTGATATTCGAGATAAAATTAACATTTTTGTGGTTGGCATGGAAGAATTGTTAACTATATGTACAGTCAGATACAATGAACATGTCGCACATGGTCGGTAATCGATATGAGTATGATGGTATGATATGATTGAAAATTTTGTATTCTTTATAACATTCCAGATCATTCATATATTGAATTGAAATTATTTTCCTATATTGTTTCAACTTAGGAGATCTACAGACTATCGCGAGTTCTTGAGTATACACGTTTCATTCATTGTCAATTTTGATTATACCAATTCGATTCATATTATTACTTGGAAAGTTGCATAGCAACAAACATTTTCTGTCTAGGTAGTACTTTCTCTATAGGCAGAGAAAGTGCAAATTTTCTGCCCGACAAGTGTAATTGAAAAGCCACTTCCAATGTCATTTGGAGGAAATTTCGGTTACCTACTTCATTAGATACGTACATTTTTAATACTCACATAATCTCAAAAGCATCTCTTTGATACTATGTCAAAACATGGACAGAATATACAGGGTGTTATTTAAGTACGTGGCCAAACTCGAAGGGGTGATTCTTTGAGTGATTCTAAGACGAAAAGTTCATATAAACATAGGTCCGGTAATTCTTCGTTTTCAAGATACAGGGTGTCAAATTGTTAAAATAAATCGTTTTTTTTATCGTAAATATCTTAATAACCCTTCAACCGAACATAAAAATCACTTCATTGCACATCCCTGTGACGAGCCGAAGCCAAGAGCCGGAGGCAAGTGCTGCAATTCATACATACATATTTTTTGTTTTTTCATTGCGTTAATTTTGATAGAAAATTCCAAGACTAGAATAGAGTATTAATATGAAAAAATATTAGTAAGACCCCAGTTTTGGATGGTTTAGTATTTGAAATGTTTTATTGTGTTGTCACAGGGATGTGCAATTAAGTGATTTTTATGTTTTTTCTCAAAAACAAAGCGAGATACGAAAAAAATTCTAGATATAAAAAAGTTGTAATTTCAGTTGCTCAATGTGAAACAAATACAAAAATCGCAAAAAAATCAATGGCGCACATTTTTTCTGTCAAAAATATTGGTTACAGTGCCTTCCAAGACGCCACTGGACATGATAATTTCGATATAGTTAGGGTTAAATTAGCCCTTTACGACCTTGAATAACACTGCCAAATTTCAATAAAATCGGTTGAAGGGTTATTAAGATATTTACGAAAAAAACGATTTATTTTATAAATTTCGACACCCTGTATCTTGAAAACGAAGCATTACCGGACCAATGCTTATATGAACTTTTCGTCTTAGAATCACTCAAAGAATCACCCCTTCAAGTTTGGCCACGTACTTAAATAACACCCAGTATTATAGTGATATATCAAATTGTTTGCTACAGTAATTTTTTCATGCGACTCTGCCGATAATGATATAGGTACAAACGAGAGGAAATGGATGATAAAAGAATTGCCAGTTAATTGTCAAATTAACTTGGCGTTTATAATTTGGTGGATGATCATGCATGGATGAATGTTCTGTAATTATGTTGATGGCATATGACGTTGCTAAGCATTTTATAGTATAGGGACTTTCCATGCATAGTTTATGGGAACACATGCATGTTTCTATTGGATCAGGTTTCGAAATTGTCAAAAATAATGCTCTTGATGGATGGTGATGTGATTCAAGAAGGGTAGTTATGAAACTGATACCGATAGGTAGGTATAATCATGGAAAAGTCAACCGTCAGGAAAATCGTAGGCTTCATCAGAAGTCTAGGGTTAGAGGACCAAAACTAGATAGGGGTAATCACAATAGATCTTCTAGGTCGCGGTGATCGAGAGGTCTCCCAGCCTACACGACCCATCTACAATCTACAATCTACAATCTAGGTATAATCATTTCAAGTATAGTCTATCCAAAGTCAGTTTGAATGCCTCGAACACGGAATGTCCCTCACATGTACAGACCTCAAACGAACGTCAAAAGAGCCGACACCGCGTGGTATACAGGGTGGGGCATTAGTGCGTCGGAGCTCGATTGCTCGAGTTCTATGATAGCTAGAAAGTTGATTTCAAAATGAACGTGAATGAGACAACAAAATCCATAACGAGACATTGTTGCCGCATACACAGGGGGCACCGGAAAATATCTGGAGGATCAGGATCACTTTTTTTAAATAGAATTCCCTATAGATTAGCACATTTTTTGAAGCATCCCTGTGACCTCCATCCACTCCTATAATATTGTTGAATATATCTCGATAATTTCATCTGCAGAGGCATACCGAAAAAAAAACCCAAAAAACGAGAGAAATCCATTTTTGAGATATTCCATAAATTCATAGCACCTTAAAAACAAAATCAGGATGTTAATCCACAATTATGCAAAATGGGAATTATTTCCTACTTTGTAAATAACTAGCATATGAGTTATTTCTGTTTGCTTTGATTCTTGTATCAATTCTTTCAATAAAAAAACAAGAATAATGAATTATTAATTGGACTTTTGATGTTTAATAACTGATGAGAATGTGTATGGATGAAAATGACCAACCTATAATTTTCGAAGTTCAATAATTAAAAAACGGTTACGAATATCAATAAGGATGTTGACATAAAAGATGTTCGTGTTTCGATTTTACACCAAATGGCCTAAAAATATATGGGGTGTTCCGACAGATCTGTAAAACCATTGACTTTTCGCGCGTAGTCATTTTTTCACGAGCCATGATTTACATGTCAATCTAAATACAGCATATATACAAGGTGTTTTTGAAATAGGTACATATAATCAGCACTTCGATATAATACAGTCTAACGAACATTCCCATGATATCAGATTTTTATTAATTCTTCTAATCAACAAGAAATTCCATCCCGAAAATTGAACAAAAAACGAGAAAAAAATTGAGTACGCCACTTTAAAACAATTTAATTGATTGAAATCCGCGTGATTGTGCCTTTCACACGTAAATTTGAACAGAGGTGACGTCAGAATGGCTACAGTGTGGCACTTTGGGTAGAAAAAGGGGTCTAACCTCAAATTTTATTTTGATCGCTATATTTTTTTTATTGGTACTACTCGATACGTCGAGTTTACTCAAGGCTTGAAATATTTGCACTTATTCCAATGCCACCCTGTATGTGAACAAAATTTTGACCATACATCTGTCGAAATATTAATATCATACTTACTTTGTTTCAAGTGTTTTGATTTTCCAAGTAGGAAAATACCAACCTACCTATATTAATTACTTATATCTGCGTTAAATTATAATTGTTTATAATTACCTTCGTAAGTACCTACTGAGAGTAAATGATCAGGTGGAGCTGAGGAAAGTTGAAACATATAATGCTTTGAGTTTGTTCGAAAAAATTGTTCTGAATTAGAGAATTCTGGTGTGATGATATTTTACAAACCTCAGACCTTAGATAGTATGAGTACTGGTATAATAACTATAAATACGTGCTAGAAGATGCAACTACCAATTTACTTTTCAAAATGATATGATGATCGCATATCAAATAATAACTTAAATTATTATTAGCCTTCGCGAATTTCAGGAAGTAATGTTTTTCTATCGACTATTTAAACGAAATGATGGAAAAAGTTAGAATATTGGTGAAAACGTGGCGTGGTAGGAAACTTGACACAAAAAAACAAAAATGAAGAATTTGATCTTCCTACTGTTTTCGCTCGCAACTTTTGTCTCCGCTGAAGAATTACGTGAGTATGCTAATTTTATACAAATATTATTAATATTAGTAAACTAAACTACGATCTACACTGAAAGAGTAAGGATGAGTCATATATGAAATCCATAAAAAGAGTTATATTAACTACGTAATTGAGCGGAATTAGAAAACTATGAAGTTATCATGAATGAGAGTGCTCCTGGAAATATCTTTCTAACGAAATATAGAGCGATATAGATGTCGGTTGATGGTTGATGGAACATGTTCTTCATTGTTTTCTCTGATTATGATTTTCCCAATATATTATTATGTTGTTCCTAAATAAAATAAAATAAACATGTAGAGAACACCAGGCTCAAGGAAGCACACAGTGGCGTAGATTCTGGGGTTACACTTTTTGTGTCACAAAGGAATTCGGAATAGGTGTTCTTAATCATTCAATACTTCTCATGATCACCTGGCTGAATTGCCACGACCCATCAGATTTTAAAAGGACTCCTTTTCGACGAAAAAATATTGAGAATTATCTCTAATACATTTCATTGTGTAGGGCGCTTATCCAGTAAATAGCTACAGAAAATAAATAATACAAGATGAAGAAACAAGAATACTCAATAAACCGCTAGAAGAAATTTTGATCACAAAAATTTAACAGGTTTAGTTATTTTATTATTGAGTCTGGTAATGTGATGAAATGATGAAAATAATCAGGAATTTTCATTCATGCGTGTCCCTCAAATCTATGCCACTGTGTCCTTCCATGGTATCTGGAATTCCCCAAGAAACTGCCTATTTTGATAATAACATAATATGACACATCACTCTATATTATATAGAAAAAAAATTGAATCATTGGTGCACTTTGTGAGAAAATACTATGGAAAAACTGTTCCGCCAGCCAGAATTTCGATAAAAATACCTTCTGAGAGAAATCTTTAATCCAAATTTCTTCACAATTTGAGATTGTCTACAAGCTCTACTTTACTTGAATCGCTTTGTATTGATGATATTTTGATAATCATCAATGCTTTTTGTTTGCTCAATATAATAGAGCTCCTTGAGATGTAAAGAAAGATCAAGAGTTACATCAAGGGTGAGACAAAGCCAAATAAAATAAAGATATATATAAATAATATCTAATTGACAAGTTACCAGTTCATTGAGTTGAAATGATTCGATAACATAGAATATTCAGATAAAGTTATAAAAATATTGTTTTTATTTTTCAGCATCATTTATCCACGTCTGTCCTAAACATGATCCAAATCTGGAACAATGTTTGATTGCATCCGTTGAAGACATTCGCCCATTCTTAGTAGATGGTGAGAACATCTAATTATCTAAGAAAATGTTCCGAAATATATTAAAGAGAATCGGAATCAGTATTTTCGTGAAGAAAAATCAGTTGCTTCGTATTGTTTCCTGAAATTTCAATTCATCATTCAGAAATCCTTCAAAAACGCAGATGGGTTTACGCTCCTCCTATATATGAGTCGCCTCTGTGAAATGAATCAGCTTCCGCCCTCCAAAACACCCTCTCATGATCATTCTCGATACCATATTTGACCATTTCCAACACTTTTCCTTGAAACTATCATTTCCATCTTCCTTTTCCAAATCCTCTTTGGAGTTAAGTAATAGTTTTCCAATTACATGATATGATATGATATGATATAAACATAAGTGATATTTTCTGCAAAAATCATGAACATCATATATGATTATTGCTCTATTTTCACTGAAGGAGTGCCTGAGTACAAGATCCCTAGCTTGGAACCTCTGGTAATGAAGGACTTTTTTTCTGAAGAAGCCGCTGGTATGAAAATCACCGTATCAGATGTAAAAGCATGGGGATGTACAGACTACTTTGTCAGAGGAATAGAGTTGAGTATCTATGTATAATCACATATTGTAACTGAATATTCGATAACCATATATACCAAGAATCAGTATACCTATACCAACTATTATTGTCCTCAACTATTTAGGTTTGTTATACACTTTGAAGGTATATCAACAATTTTGAATTCTTGTGAAGTTGCGAGAATTGATGATATGAAACAATGATGACGATTAATTATTGTCTGATGATCTGGTATATATTGATGAATATCAATATTTTGTGATTTCGATTACAACATGAAAGGAATTTCTAATTATATTTCAGTGTCAATATGGATACTCATCTATTCACCTTATACATAGATCTTCCAAAGCTTAGAATCGAGGCACATTACAATGTTGATGGAAAACTTCTGGTCCTACCCATAAAAGGAAATGGTGACCTGGAAGCTAATGTCAGTAAGTATAACTTCATACAACATAAACACTGTGTTCATTTGACATATTGTCCTCTTAACCACTAAATCTATATAAGCGTCAAAATTATGAATTTGCTTCGATTATGGTTTGCCAGTTCAGAAACTTGTACCAAATCATAGATCTTTGTATGGTCTATACAAAGTTAAATAGATCATATTTAGCAAGAAACGTCTGTACGCTGCGCGATGTCGGTACGTTTGAAGTTTGTTTGAGGTCCGTGCACTAGACGGACATTCCCAGCGAGCACAAAAACATCTCAGAGATGTTAAAAGTACGAGATTTCGAGACATTGAACCTCCACTGCGATGTTCTGTTCACACATGAATAGAACTATTATAGAACAGCCAATGTCAAGATTTCCTTGATATGTCACAAAACTACTTTCTCCCTAGTTCTTTTTAAAGCCTTTTCATGGACACAACAGAACATTTTCAACGCGTCTTGCGCACATTGAATCGCTGTAAAAAAAACATTTTCGAGGTACTTTTCTGAAGCCTTTTGTCAAAATGAACTTTTGCATTAGGATTCCATTTCCCTTGAATGAAAAAATGCATTAAAAATAGATTGAACATAAAAGTATTTTCTCGATATGAAATTACCTTCTTAATCGGTTTCTGAGTAGTGCTTACTACACACAGACATATAATTGGAAATAGGTTTCCCAATTCTTGAAATGTTCTCCACAATGCATAATTTTGCAACTGCGGAGAAGCTGTGTATTGATGAATTCGTACTTTTATATATTGATTACACTGAGGCACCGAACAACATCTTGCATCTGATGGTCATTATTACAAACCAAATAAGTCTTCTAACACAATAAACTTCACCAAATCCCTTTCTGTTCGTTAGCAGCGTGATGTAAGCGTGACATGCTGCAAACGCGAATGCCAATTGCGAACAAGAAGAACAAAATCGAAAACAAATCAGAATTCATCGTATTGTGACGTAAGCATGAGACGTTGTGGTGGGGCAAACAAAGGAAGGGCACAAAAGAACAAAAACAATACTTGCAATATCCTTCTAAGACCTCTTTGGGAAGTGCATATTACGCCTCAAAAAAACATCCTCATGCCTACATTTCTAAAACATCCCAAAACATCCCAGGGATACCTCTCAGTAGGCAAACGAAGAAATGCCAAAGAAGAACAAAAGCAATACTTCAATATCCTTCAAATACCTCTTTGGCCAGTGCATATTACGTCTCAAAATAAGATCTGCATGCCAACATTTTCAAAACATCCCAGGGATGTTTGTGCTCGCTGGGTTTCTTGTTCGAGGGGTTCCAACTGACTCTCGATATATTATACCTGACCCTATGATGAAAATCAGTATCTTAGTCAGGGGTAGCTGCAGGATACTTTCCCACAATGACAAATTTAACGTATTTTGAGGTTGTATATTGACTGCATTTCGCATTTTCTATACTAGGTCTTCTGCACTTCGTCCATATTATAGGTACATATATTCGTTTCCTCAGAGGGTAAGGTCCAGTTAGAACCTCTACAATAGTTTTATTTTGTTCTTACTCAAGCTCAAAATTTTGCCAGAAGAGTGGACCAACAGGCAACATCAGTTTCATTAAATTAGTTTGAATATAGGAGTTTTTTCACTTTCTCTTCCATGAATATAGGTACACGATATTTGGATGAAGTTACGTATGATGGTATGAGGGTATCTGAGAGATGCTGAGAGTTAGCAAGCAGATATTGCAAGTAGTTTTAATAATAAAATACTTCCTAAAATAGTTTTCTTATCTTTGTGATGTGATTCTTATCACAAGAAGTCAAACTCAATTAATTGACATACCTTCAAAGAAATATCATTTGAATCATTCCATGTATTACAAAATTTGAGGGTGTTAAGTGGTTTTAATGATTGTACCTAATATTTTTTTCAGCTGATCTCCATGCAACAGCACAGCTGAGTGGTGAAAATTACGAAATGGAGGGCGAACAATATCTAAAATTTTCGACATTTGATTTACACGTCGATGTTGGTGGTGGTTCTGCTAGACTTGAGAATTTGTTCAACGGGGACAAAGTTTTACGTGAGTATTTATCCTCTCATGACTTTCAATTCACTTCATACTCTCGTTCAGAAAGGGAAACAGCTCCTTCATTTGGTAGGAAGGACGTAATAAATCTCTTTTTGGAACAGAAAGTGTTCATTGTAGTCCTGAGACAGGTCGATCTTAACTTTCCATCTTCCACATCTTTATGGGGAAATTAAATACACAGGGCGACGTTTGAGTTATGACGTCCGCGACAATTTTCCAAATGGAATACTCTATATTTTATTCCGATTTTCGGAATATTCATGGATAGCTGAACTTAAAAATATATCACACACAGATTTTTCATACAGTGCGTCAGTTATTTTCAGTGCTCTAGTAAATATATATAAATTCTGGTTTTGCTAAACTATCCATTTCTGAGGAATCTCCTGAAACACGACAACTTTTATTCAAAATTTTCCACATTTATCTTGGAAATTCGTTGCCATTCTATCCTGATCAGTGATATCTATCAAATTCAGCGTGTGGAATATTCCAATATCCAAATAATAAACATGGAGATATCTCAAGTGTTGGACGATGATTAAATTTTTAACGATTTTTCTCTGTTCTAGTTGGGATGATCAATGATGTGGTCAACAAAAACTTCGATATGTTCTTGAAGGAACTGATGCCTATTATCGAAAAATCACTTGCTAGTGTTTTCAAGGACACTGCAAACGCTATCACCCAGTCTTTCACTTATAATCAACTGTTTCCTCAATAACTTTCAAAACACGTATAATGCCCGAAGAATGTATGATAAAATAAACACATTATTCTTAGAATGAGGCATTTTATTCATATAAATTGGTATTGAATCTGATTTCATAGGGAACTAATCAAGGTGCTTCAAAGTGTTTATTTCCTTCAACATATCCGAAAGCTTGGCAATGTAACGAAGAGCTTTATTTTGACTGCAGCCCCATCACATTATGAAAAGATGACATTAAAAATAAAAAATATACAATACACTCTGACAAATAAATAGTAACTAAGAAAATGTCGAAATGAATATTCAGAGTCCAAAGTCAGTTCCATATTCGTTCATAAATGAATATTTATAAACACTATTAGAAAAAAAAAAGAAAAATATACCTATACAATATGCGATAGAACTATCCACGTTGCTGTTGGCGAGCAGTGTACTACGGGGGTGCTATGTGGCTGGTTCCATATGGCTGTTGGCGAGCAGTGTATATCACTGAAGATGACCCCACTTTGTCATAGATGGTCATGCTTTTGGGTGTATGACAAATTGACATTCATCATACAAGGCGTGGAAAGAAATTCTGAATTGAGACTCTATCACGAATCTGCGATTAGAGGTCTATAAAAATCACAAGTTTCCATCGTTCAAGTTTGAACCCCCTGATTGGGTATGAAAGTGTTGAAAAGGAATATTCTCAGATAAATTATGAACATACAAAAATGGATATACAAAAATGGATACATATATATCCATTTTTGTATGTTCATAATTTATCTGAGAATATTCCTTTTCAATAGATGGTCATAGTGTGTATTTTGGGTAGGTATATCTCCCACTTCCGCAGAGGCCGCAAATTACAAACAATTTCAACAATTACGAAAGATACAGGGGTGCTTCCATTAGAAGTGAAGACACAACTGTGTAAATATATGTATGTATCTACTTAACACTTATTAATTTCCCTTTGCACCACTAGGTGAGTTTGAGTACTTACTATAACTTGCCTATGGATATGTATTAGGCCTAGGAAATCCTATGACCAGTACGACCATACACAAGGAGAAAGGTAAATAGGTAAATTAAAGGTGCCGTTTGAATAAATTTTATTTGCAGTCCTATTGATCAATTATTTCATCACGATGAAGTTGATATTTGTGTTCATTGTAAAAATCATATAAAAAGTAAAATCACTGACAGGAATAAACAACTTCCTCTCTTTCGCAAATATCCCATTTTACCTCGTAGATGCTTTCGTTGCGCCATCTAGGATTACAAATCTCTTTCACTGTCTTCGATGACGTAGCAAAACCTCTTCCGCAACAAAGCGTGGCGCAGTTGTCTGCGTCTTTGCAGCGCCTCCCCACGGTGGTAGTACAGAAGTTCGGGCTGTTCTCTAGGTAGACAAGATGGCCGTCGAACCTTTCTTTCTGTATTTGGACGATTGAGTTGTCGGGCTCTACCTGGATGGCGCTGTGGTAGCGGTTCTTGAGTTCTCTGGCAATTTCGTTGAAAGAGCGGATCCGTTTGACACATATTTTGTAATTACATGAACCTAAAATATCGCTTTCATAAACATTTTTGTAGTATCACAATGGAATTAAATGAAATAAAATGTTCATCATGTATACAAGGATGTCTATCATCTCGGATCTCGGAAACCATAAGGGATACGAAGGTGATTAAATTGAAGAAAAGTTGCGCATTTTTAGGCCTAACAATATGCTGTTTAGAAAGTTTCAAAATTCCGAGTATTTTCCTTATTTCTTGGAGCGCACGAAAGGATCTCCTATAATGTTCGTGGATATACGCCTAAAAAAACGGAATTTGCCGATTTTTGATAAGGAGTCGATGAGTTACTCAATAGTATTAAATAGATTCATAATAAGAAAATTATGAGGCAAATTCCATCATATAGGCATACATTTCTCCTTGTGATAAATAAAGAGATAAATATAAATACCTAATATGGGACCTAAATAAAAACCTACTTTTTTTTTTCAAACTTCAACATGCTCAATATCATAGAATTCCATTAGTAATATCTTTGATTTCACATAATATTATTCAAAGATATAAAGGATAACAAGAGACACTTTCTCTTTCCCATTTCTCAAGCTCTACAGATTTTCATACAGTTGAATATTCATTTTACCAGTCATTATATAGAATAATAAAGTTGATGATGATTTCTCCGATACGAAACGTCGTTCTAATGCTGTAGATATTGTTTTCCTAGATCTTCAAATACCGCCAGAATGAAATAAAAACGAACTCGGAAAATTTCAGTGTTTCAGGCATATCCCCAGAGCTACTCAAAATGTTAAAACTTTCTGAACGGCATATTGTTATGCTTGAAAATATACGCAACTTTCCTCAGATTAAACCATCCTTGTATCTCCTATCTTGGACACATTTTATATGAATATTTCAAAGAAAACAATCCTTTTCGACTCTTCACTAGACACTACTTGTTTATTCAATTCATCAAGTCTTGAACAAAACGTTTCTATGATCTTACCTGAAAATCCCTGACACTTGCAGATTTTTTCTTCGTATTTCATCACAACCTCAATTCCTATCCCACTATTATACTTAAGAATACTTTGGACTATATCACCTGTAACAAAATCTTTGGGACATTATCTCGAAAATTCAGGGAATAGAATTTTGAAAAATATTCATTAATTATACAAGGGAAAGTTACTTAAATAACGTGCAAGTAATCTTTTTCCACCAATAATCGTAGTTAATCTTCTAGATTTTTAATCAATTCTCAAAAACTAACATAAGCGTTGTTTCTTCTCACAGATTTTCTTTTTATAAATTTTGCTGATGATGAAGGATTAATCCTTCGAAACATTTCCTTATGTCCATGACCGTTGGTTATTATTAAATTGTTCAGTTGGTGGAGTTGTGACTGTAAGTTCTTTCACCCCTCCTGATTTATATCACCTCCACTGTAAGTTATGGATCATCTACGTTGGTTACTTTATTCTACCCTTAGATCATAAAGATTCTACCAGCGTGCAGAAAAGTAAATTCTTTAAGTTTTTTGGGAGTACACTGACATATATTTGAATATTTTATACAGTGCTAGTCAAAAGTCCTTTCCCCCCCTCGTATCTTTTGAACGGGTATACTTATAATAATGAAATTTGGAGGGTGGAAATAAACGGATGTAGGCTTCTCAACTGGTCATAACAGGTGACGCAATAGTTTATTTCCACCCTCCAAATTTCATTATTATAAGTATACCCGTTCAAAAGATACGAGGGGGGGAGGGGACTTTTGACTAGCACTGTATAATAATGAATGTTTCTTCATGTTGAATTATGGTTTTCGCACGCTATTAAATAGTTATTTATTATATAAGGGAAAATAGTAGTAGAAATCTAATATTTTTCCCGTGTATAATACACTATTTTTTTCTGTGACAGAAGGAAGGACGAATCAATATTGAGAAGATATTACATTATTTTGAAATCTGAAAATTATCGACGTGAAATTTTAAGTTTTTAACAGTAAGGACACCTGCGTTGTAGGCATCTTTATCATTCTTTTGAAGTAATCGAATATCTGATGTCACTTCTGTCAGTCTAATCCTGTGATTTGATTCAAAAAAATTGCGAATTTAGTGGTTGTTTAGTAAAATACGTAACCGCGAAGTCGAATGGAAGATAAAAGGACTTGCAGTTCTTTCTCGGAGACGGTATTATTGACCTATTCTCGGAACTATAGCACAACAAAGGCCATCAACAGTGTTTATATATGTGATATATATCCGGGAAAAAAGTATTCACTTTTTTCCCACGGAAAAAAAGTAATTCATGAAAAGTGACATTTTATAACCTGCCAACAGAGATGAAATGCCAAACTTTTTTCCCGTCACAGAAGAAAAAATTTATAGTAAGTAAACGGGTGCGTGAAGTGACTTTTCCGCACATGTTAGGCAAACTACTATTTAGTCTCACTACCTTTTTTTCTGAGTTGAAAGAATTTGTAAGCAAACTTCCTAGCAAATCTCGTGTTATCACCACAGCCACCCCATTGCCAAGCAGCAGGGTTATCAGACTTTCCATGACTAGCACATTCACAATTTTCCAGTTTTCCTGCTGCACATGCCTTAGCCACCGTGTAAGTGAATGCGGATGTGGAAAGTGAGTGTAATAAAGCGGTTTCTCTGTACACTTTCTTGAATAATTTCTTCTGCAGCATACAAGACCATTGCTCATACCTGAAACATCAGTTAATTTCAAATTCCGCCGAAGTTATATTATTTCAAAGAGAAGAAGCTCAAAGTCGCCTCCACAAGTTTGATGGCGATGTATGCAGACAAATCTGCTTTTACTTTTGAGACATGTTTCGACCATCCAAATGGTCATCATCAGTCAAAGTACAGAATGAAGGAGATCTACAAAAAAAAATTGTTGTGTGTTAATACTCAACATCTAGCAAAATGGTTAAGTAACTGAGGGGAAATTGACAAGTTATACAATAATATGTGGTAAAAATTCAAAACAAGTGAAATGCACCTATTGAAAAATAAGTAGCATAAGTTCATCGCCATTAAACTTGTGGAGACGACTTTGAGTTTGTTCTCTTTGATCATCCCCCTCCAGTTCGAGCATGGATTACTTCAGAAGATTTTTTATATCATCTCATCAAGTCACCGTTTCCAGCATAGTGGAATTTATTATATTCCCACCATGAGTCTTATCGTAAAGCCAGAATTTTGCTTGCCATCTGAATTGGTTAAACCCTGAGATTTCCAATTTAAAGGACTTGTTCTTTAGAATTGTACTCTTATTTGACAAGTATACTACCTATGTGCATTTACTCTTTTGGTTAACACCAAACGACTCTAAGATCAAAGATGTCGAATTGTAAAAAATGTTGTTCTTTGCCTGACATAACTGTCGGCGTCAAACAGGGAAATCCGTCATTCCCTGAAATTTGTAAAAATTTGTAAAATTTGTAAAAAAAATTTGTAAAATTTGTATATCGCTACTTCAAAGTTGGGAACCAACTCCCCAGAAGTCGAAACTTGTGCGGGGTTAGGAAGAGCGGGACCTACAGCTTATAGTGGAATCCGAACCACTTCTAGGGCATCGAGGTGCTGCCAGGATTACAACCATGAATCACACATTTTAAAGAAAAATGCTCAGCCGACAGCCGGATTCGAACCGACAGTACCTCTGCATCGTGAACGGCTATCTAGCGAATTTCAGCGCATAGACAAACTCGGCCACGGAGCCCGACGAAATGCCTAACTGCAGCGTAACTTCCGTTTTTATCCGTTACTCTGTTTGCCGGATGGTTCAGGATGGAAATAGTTATTTGTTTCACTATTAGGCAGAAAAGTACAAGATTTAATGCCGCGGCTGGCGTTTCATAGCCTAAGCGTAGCCGAGGCTAGGAAACCAGCCAAGGCCAAATAATCATTTTTTGTTACCCAAAGTCATTTGTCAATTTTGATTACCAATTTGATTCAAATTACTTGGAACGTTGCCTAGCAACAAACTTTTTCTACCTAGGCAGTAAAAATACACCTGTTCTGCCCGTTAAGTGTCATCAAGAATCCACTTTTAATGTCATTTGGAGAAAATAGTTATTTGTTTTACTATAGGCAGAAGAGTACAAGATTCAATGCCGCGGCTGGCGTTTCATAGCCTAGGCGTAGCCGAGGCTAAGAAACCAGCCAAGGCATTACATCTTCTTTCCTGCCATGTGAAACATATAATTTTTTCTCCAAATTCTTCTCAATTTCACGTAAAGTCCAAATAATCCATCATTTTTTGTTCACCCAAAGTCATTGTCAATTTTAATTACCGATTTGATTCAAATTACTTGGAACGTTGCATAGCAACAAACTTTTCTTGCCTAGGCAGTAAAAGTACACATTTTCTGCCTGTTAAGTGTCATTAAAAAGCCACTTTCAATTTCATATGGAGAAAAATATCATTTCTGCATGTACATAAAAAGGAGACGGAAATTTTGCCCTTATAATGTGGATTCTTTTTCGAAAACAATTTTTGAATTTTTGTCTGAAGAACACGAATTTGATAATAATAATGTGAACAAACCACTTTTATTCGAGATATTTGAAGAATAAGTTTTGATGATAATTTCAAAATTCTACACGTAAAAAATGAAGGAATACACTTCAATCATTTTGAATAATTAAAAATCAACAAAATCAAAATTTCAAACATTCTACTTAACGATCAACTAGACCTCAATAGTTCACCACTGTTGAATCTGTTTTCTTAGTTGGTATAATAATATGTATTTACTATCAACCCTTTCAAGTTTAATCCGGTACACCGTATTTTTATGTAGATATTGTGCCTAATTTCCAAAAATGGAGGTTTATCGAACTCTTCTACAGGTGATTTTGATCCTTCAGGTTAAAGGTTTGTTCATGCTTAAACAAATTTCGCAAAATTTATGCGAATCGCAAAATATGAAATTCGACGTTTATACTCATGCGAAAAAATCTGCAGGAGAGAAGTTCATCAAATTGAAGGCACGTTACACGAAAGTTATTGAAATATTTATTAGGGCTGTAACAATCTCCATAAATTGTTTGGCATTTAGAAATGCTTCGAACACTACAGCTCCTTTTTTGCATCTGGATACATCATTAGCTCTATAGAGACGATACAAATGATACTTTGATATTAATTCGTCCAGAGAATCCATCCTGCGAAAAAAATTGAATGAAAGGAATGATGGAATTTATATTTATAAAGTGTAGTTACCTAGTCTTGTCTTTTTTCGGCCTCTGCTCTCCAATTTTTATATCAAAATAACAACACATTTTGTGATTACTGTGTGGTTATGATTCCATCCGAATTCGTAAAAAAGTTCAAATATTTCAACTTCATTGCGATTTTCGCAGTCGCCATTTTATTCGCATAAATTTTGCGGAATTCGTACAAGCATGAACATACCTCAAGAAGTAAGGCAGGCAAAGGTTAGTTAATTTCATTGTACCAGTATTTCACTTGATGAAGCTACTGTGTTGGCGAAACATGTCGTGTGATTAAGAATATTGTGGAAATCTCATCGTTTGTGAAGTTTTTACAATTGAAAAACATCGTTGAATCTAAGAAAAGCTAAACTCAGCGAAATCATTCCAGTTGAAAATAAAAGTTGTTGAGTATATTTTCCTTTTTGGAGTTGGAAATCTTCAGTAACAAGGCATACCCAGAACACATTATCCAGAATACTTATAAAACAGAAGTGACTGGCCAGTTATCTAAAGACATATCAAATCAAAGGAGTACATAAAATACTACAAATATCACAATTGGCTATCGAAATTATGAAATAGAATCGGCTGGTATTAAGCGAAGTATGCCAATTTTTTTAATTCGATATATTGAAGCGCATCCGTCAATATTGTGATAGGTATTGTAGGATTTGGCGAAAGAGCCAATAATAAGTAGATATTTTAATTTTTCATTTCATTGGAACATATTCTGTAAACAAAAGTCTAGATGAACCATGCATATTGACAGGATCAGTGAAATGGTTGGATCGTTAATTCCATGATTTGGCCCAAGCATAGAATTGATGATTGTATACTGAATGTTCTAAGTTGTATGAATACGTGCAAAAACTGATTTATGAAAAAATATTTTGGTGGAAAATTCGCTCCTGCACTACGGCTATGAATTGGATTTCATGCCCTATACAAAGAAGGAATAATAATTTGAAATCTTCCAGCAGGGTTGAGCTGGCTGAAATATGGCTCCTTTAGGATACAATACAGGCTATTTCGAATTCAAACGTCGACCTTGAAGGTAGTTATGCATGAAAGCGATGCTAAGGTAGCTCGCTGGTCGATTCATTAGCCAATTTTACAGTTTTGGTTGTACATCAGCTTCTGGTCGAAAAAGCTACCAACGGGCATTTGTGACATACTAAAAATCATCTTCCTCTTCGGGAACAACTTTCACGCAATTTTTTGAATTTTTCACATTATTTTATGCATTTGTGTTTCAAATAATTTGGTCAGTATATTGGTACAGTAAAATTATGAGTTGATTTAGTAGTAGTAGTGAAGCCGGCGTAGCCTCGTGGTTGAAGCTGCAATATTCTATTCACGTTGGATTGCTGGTAGGTGGGTTCGATCGATCATTTTCTATCTTTTGGAGCGCACGATAGGAAATTCTAATAATGTTCGGTTGGAATTTTTTCAATGCCGCCCTGCCTATAATGACAGCTACTTACTGAAAATTATCCGTACAAGAAGCAATAGCTATGTTTCTTGTGTCCACTATGACTTCAGCTAGTCCCTCTTTATTCAAGCATAGTTTATTCTGATGCTTCATGCCTTTCAACCATCTACACAGACCTTTACTGTTGGATGTTACATTGTTGTACTTCTTGGTGAATAAAACGGTGACGAACGATTTCCCTCTGCCATTTCTGAGATATTTCCTGAAAGTTCAATACTTATATCATGAGCTTATTGCTTCAGTACTTTCAGTAGACTGAGGAATCCTCAGAATTATTTTTCTCTAACTCAATCCAGATATTTTTATATACCGGATTCTCATCAATAGAGGCGTTTTGAATTCCATTGGTTATCATAAAACTACCGCTGGTAAGCAGACTCAATAGTTGTTCATTAAAATCGAATGACTCGAATCGCATGACATGTCATAAACAAGATAATACCAACACCAATTACTACAAGTGTACAAGCTACTTTGATAGGAGGCGAATTCAAAATTGAATTAAAAAAGAACAATCAATCCGAGGCAGGTGTTCACATTCTGATGCCTTCCCGTTTATTACTACCCTACTCATCTTTTTCTGTTCCTATCTACCGGCCCCGTTTCGCCCAACTTTAAATTCCACGAAATATTAGGTGTGTCCTTTTCTATCCTAGACTAAACATGGTGAATCATATACCCATAACTATTCGACTAGTCTCCAACACGACCATCACATCAACGTTAACTCAAAATAGTGAAAATAGCAAGAGATGCATTTTCTTTCCAAAAATGATAATTTGTCTAGCAGCGCCGATATATAATGTTGTATAGACTGTATGACTAATCAAATGTAGTGACTGAACTATACTCATCAGAATTCCTATGGTGATGCTAGACCTTTTCTGAAGTACGTGTAGGAAACTAGTTGCATCTGAACAAAAAAGATGTGAAAATTAAGTTGAGTGATTATGGCACAAACATCGAACTTTTTTTTGTATCAGTAATATATTGTGGACAGTTTTCCTATATCAAGCTTATCACCTTGTATCTGGAAAGCTGCCAACTCACGAACATAAGTTTTAGGAAGTGACGTTGCTTTGACGTCAGAAATACGCCCCTGAATTTTGTTCATGTACATAAAAAATACCCTGTATATTTGATTTTTGTTAGATCAGCATGACAAGGAATAAATCCAAGTATATTCATGATAGATATACGGCACAAAATTGATATGAGTTGCAATTGACTGATAATCGCATGACGAATTATACTGATGACAGTTAGTTGGTCCGTTAGATACATTTCTGGAAATAAGTAAATTCTCCAAGTAAATGATAATCGTGTAGGTATTCAACTACATCCAACCACACCTATTTCCCACCAAGAAGGAATCCCACCTCAGGAACATCACAAAACACAACTTACTTATTGCTGCTGGCACCACTATCCCCATCAATCAAACAATAAACGAAAAACACCACCGAGATAATTGCCAAGTTGTTTCTCGACAGAATTTTCATTGTATGATCTACATGGCGAACTGAGCTTGACTGAAAGCCACAAATCTCAACTTATCGTCAATATTAGTCATGAACAAATAATTTTATTTCATTTCGAGGAGATTTGTTTATCTCGAGGCCCTCACACGCCAATAAAAATCAGGTTGAAAAGGAAATGAAAAGTGTTTTACAGTGGGTTTATGCATGATGATTGACGTTCTTCTTCTTGTTGGAGTATGAAGATCCAAAAAATATGGTAACAGATAACAGTGAAATTTTTGATATCTGCGGCTGGTAGCCATTTGATTTTTCCAGTGAAGCTCAGCTATTGGTCAGAGCAATCATTGCTTGAAATTTGACATTTCATGGAAGATGAGATTTCGTGAAATAATAACACAATGTGTGATATCAGATCTTTGTGTTATAGCCGTAGAAAAAAGTGAGTTTATTGTTTAACGAGCACGAAATGAAATCATATTGAGTTGGGAATAAACATCCCGTGCGAGTTATACACTATACTTCTTCTACGACTGTAACAGATAATAGCTACATTTTTTATTTCTTCGGCTTGTACCCATCTGCAATTTTCTCATAATTATTGCTCATCTATTATTCAGACAGAGCTGCAATTGCTTGAAATTCGAAGTTTCTTTGGAAACATTTTATGGAATAAATAATAACACAATGAAGATATTGTGATATCAGATACGGAAATAGAATTGATGACATATAAAGTACCTCATTGAATCAATAAGAATCAATAATAGAATGCGAGGCATTGGATTGCAAAAGACAAGAAATATTTGGGCAGCCTAGGCTGACTTCCGAAGAATACAACAACCAACCTGTGAAGACTGGTGCAGGGGATAAGAGCTACGCAATGGGTGCTGTAAACTAAACAGGAATGCACAAATAGCCCAGGAGGTGTAGCCGGTGACAGGACCAGCATCCAAGAAAAAAAACCTCATTGATTTATCGAATGCAGTTAAAAAAGAGCAATTTTGTGTTATAGCAGCAGGAACATATTATTGTCAGTTGTCACAGCCTCCTGAGAAATTAAAAGTACCTACAAATTTTCAGACTGCTGAAACACATCGTAGGTTATTCTCCTCATACTGATGTAATTTTTTTGATGCATGCAGACGATTTGAAGATATATTGTCAGATAAATGATATTGAGGATTGTGAACGGCTATCTCTGAATCTGAAACGCGTTGAACAATGGTGTGGCAGTAACAAATTACCTTTGAACGCTAGCAAATGTAATGTGATGACATATACACTTAGAAATCAACTCATTTTATTTCCATATGATATTAGTGATACAATACTTCAACGTCCGCCCACATTTACCGATTTAGGTGTCACCTTTGACACAAAACTTTCATTCACACCGCATATTGAGGCTACTTAGTCTGCTGCAAGCAGGATGTATGGATTCATAGCGCGGATTTCTAGAGATTTTTCTGATTCAGCCACATAAAAAACATTATATTATGCCTTCGTCAGATCAGAACTGAAATATGCATCTTCAATTTTAAATCCGTCTCATCAGCTGTATTTTGAGAAAGTTGAATCAGTACAACGTCGTTTCCTAAAACTTCTTTCCTATAGATCTGATAATGTATATCCACCAATCGGGTTTCCTCATGATACATTATTAGGTAGACATGCTATGAAAAGCCTTAGTTGCCGTCGTGATTGTCAATCGACAGTGTTCCTTTTCAAAGTGATGAATAACATTATCACTGACTCATACATTTTGCAGAAGCTGAGATTCACTGTGCCTAGAAAAACTTCTAGAGTTTTCAATACATTCTATCTTCCGACACCACAAATATTTTGAAATATTCTCCTCGCCATAACATATGTTCTTTATACAATAATTCATCAAATAATCTGCCAGATATCTTTCATTGCTCTATCTCTGCGATTAAATCTTCTTATTCCAGCTAAGATCTAGCCTATATTTATATACTTTTCAAAATATGAAAAACTGTATTATTAGTTATACTCATTTTCCTGTTCTGTAGTTGGGTTTAACCTGTAGAACAGTATAACATTAAATGAATAAATGGGTTAGAGGAAGCTATAGTATTCAGAGTACGAGTGTGTTAAAACTTTTATCGACTAATTTTCTATTTTATTACTACACCTAGGTACTTCCTATCTCCCTGAAACCTTCAATAACGTTTATGAAACAAATTATAATATTTGTAGGTAATATAGTATGTTATTTAAATAGCGAGTACTTTATACGCTGACCGTCAGAGGCCGCAGCAGTACAAATTTTCAAAACTGCTAAAATACATCGTAGGTTATTCTCTTCATACTGATGTTAAATGATTTAAAGCACAAGGGTTGAAGGGAGCTATAGCTAAAGACTTTCATCGACGAATTCTCTATTTTCTTACGACACCTTTTATAGGTACTTTCTGTCTCCCAAAAACCTTCAAGAACTTTTTTGAAACAAATCATAATATTTGTGAGTGATAGGATGTTATTTGAATAGCGACTACTTTATACACTGACAGTCTGAGGCCGCAGCAGGTTTCATCTTGGAATATGTGAGAAAAATAGTGTTCACAACTCGATGGAAATACCACTAACTCATAATCGTCACTAGAGGGAACTATTTACAAACGTTCGGTTCAATTGAAATTACAAAAAGTTCAGCTCCAATGAAAACTTTGATATTAAAATCAATGATTTTCAACACTGTCACTGGAAAAATATAGTTTCAGATTGGGCTATCATATGATCATACAATAAATCAGACCATGACAAGTTCATTGCCCAATTTGGTAGAACTGCCATCTTCAATTATAACAACTGTCAGTGTTAGATGATTTACATCAGCGTTTTATAGTGTTTGAGATTGTTTATAACGCATGCAATAAGCTAAAATAACTATGAAATAATTCGAAGCATGGGAATAGATCTTCTACAATGCACACACTCCTGTGATCAGTTTTAATTCAAATGTATTTGATATTTCCATTGTGATTACTGACGATCATCTATCTATGTATAGGAATTTGTTCAGAATCAATGCATGGGATTAGATGATAAGTATATTGAATTTTAAAAATTGACGTGATCTCTACTTCAATCGGAAGTTTGAATCAGTGTTGGAATGATTCCGAAGTACGCAGTTGTTTTCCTTGAAAAAAAAACATCATAAGGTAGTTATGCACCATAATAAATGTGGCCCCTCCCATGTTATTATCTTATCGAATGATGCTGACTTTGGGAAAGCAATCAGAGCGTTGAATAAATAAACCCAAATAATTTGAACTAACCGGCCCAGTAACCTAAACAAAGAAAATCACCTCTAGAATAACAAAAAAAATCAATCCAGCAGAATTCTAGTGAGCTCATTCATGTACCTGTGCCTTAACACAAGATATCTCTGGATAAACAATGGCCACAAACAAAAGCACAGTCAACCAACTCAACCATTGTCAATATCCTCAACAAATATATATTTTACGGATTATTTTGTTTTATGCTGTTTACCAGACGTCACTTCAACCTGTAAAATATGCAAACAGTCTTAATTGACAGCTCGAAATTTTCATTTCATTTCGGAGACCCATTGAAATTCTTTTTTAACAATTTTGAAATTGGCGTCCATACATGCATATTCGGCTATCAACAGATCTGTTCATTGAGTAATATTCATACATATATCTTATTCAACTAATAGAATGTGAGTAACATGATTCATTATTATTGACATAGTTACTGGTTAGAGATTCAACAAAGAGTGGGTCACCTAAAAAACCTATGGGGATATTTATTCATGAAGTTTACAGTAATTGACCGATTTGAATTCTCTTGGCATTGATGCTGGATAGAAAATTCAGTGTATATAGAATACGAATATCCGAATGAAAGATTTTCTATCACAGCAAAAGTTGGTGGCGTATACTTACTTATACTCACATCACGTGACTATAAATGTCTGAAAGCTTGATCAGCTATTGAAAATATTCTGTGAAAAATATTATCAAATTACTGTTATACCCATATATACCGGGTGACCCAGAACTATTTTACCCCCCTGTATCTTCGTTGCTATATTTTGAATGTATATGTTTCGAATTTGGTACATCGATTTGTCCGAAAGTGCATCCAATTTCTTAATTTCGAATACAAAGTATATTTTTCTTTCAGAAATTACGATTCAGCTCTACTTGAGTCAAGGTATTCTGTGATCTTGACATGAATTTCCTTATACAAAGAGTATGTGTTCTGAAAAATCCATGGTTCTTGATGATTTCTGAAATTTCTCTTGAATGAAAATTCATTAGATAGGGATAATTTTCTCGTGCCACAGGAAGATCATCATTTAGCTCTGGCTACTTGAAATAAAAATCATAAATCATGGTTGAATATCCGAGAATCTTGTGAAAAACTCGGGCGATAGATTGTAGATTGTAGATTGTAGATGGGTCGTATAGGCTGAGAGACCTCTCGATCACTGCGACCTAGAAGATCTATTGTGATTACCCCTGTCTAGTTTTGGTCCTCTAACCCTATAGACTTTTGATGAAGCCTGCGATTTTCCTGACGGTTGACTTTTCCACTTCAGCAGGGGTGAGATAGACCTGTTCTAGGTGTGGTTCAGCCTTTGGCAGACTAATACTTCACATGAGCAAAGTATGTGTTCCGCGGTTTCGGTCGCATTGTTACAAAAGCGGCAAGTGCCAGTCTCCACCAGACCCATCTCTTCGAGGTGGTACCTCAGAGGGCCGTGTCCTGTGAGAAAGCCTGTGATAAGCTTTAGCTCTGGTTTGCTGAGGCTGAGTAGCTCTTTGGATCGGTTCTGCAAATGGTTGATGAACCTTTTCGCTTGTCGTTGACCTGGAGTTGCTCTCCAGTAGGAGGACTTTTCAATTTCTTCCCATTTCCTGAGTTCTCCCTTTAGGTGACATTTGCTCATTCCACAAAAAGGCTCAGGACCAAAAAGTGCAGATGCTGCACCTTTTTTTGCAAGGCGATCAGCTGCCTCATTTCCTTTGATTCCTTCATGCCCTGGAACCCTCAT